TTTAAAAATTAAAGTTTTTATTATGTAAAGCTGAACGAACGTGACTAACTTAAAAAAATCGATCGCCATCACATGATCGACATCAATTTCAATAATTTCGAAAACGCCAATAAAAATCTGATTTGGATTAGATCGAGTTGATCCAATTGGATTGGATTTTACTATTAAATTTCCAATCCAGGTAAAACAACGATTAACGACACTATGCTTGCACTCTACCACCACGATCACTAATTGCCTAACCATATGTTGACGTCGCATTAAAGTTATCAATTAAGAAAATGAATTTGTATTATGGTAATCATTCGATACCTTGCGAGCTTGATCTAGCGACAAACTTGAATCGGTCCAAAAAAGTGTTTATTTTTTTTTTTGTATAAGATTGACTCGGAGAAATTTGTTAAAAATATTTTGATTGGATTATTGAATTCGTACCACTTAACGTTAATGAACTTCTTGGTATAAATACCGAGTTTTTCATCAAAATTCTAAAATCCCAGTACCTTCTTTTTTATATAATAATATACATAATGAAATATAAATAAAATATGAAGTAGTATAATCCCTTCCTACCTTTTTACTAGGATAAGAATCCCTTATTGTGAAAGTATATCCGCTTGGATATCAGTCAAACGGTTAAAAAAAAAAAAAAGAAAATACGATTTTACTGCGGACTTTTCAATTATCTAACAGTCGATAAAATAAGCATTATTATTACTACGTTCAATTTTTTTATGAAGATATTATATGTCAACATGGGTTTCCAAAAATTCTACTCACATATCAAGGAATTCACTTCGTTAATGAACTCTTACAAGGTCTTTGTCAATATCTTGACATTCATCAAACATTATTCACAGCATATTATTCTCAAACTAATTGATTGATAGAAAGGTTTAATTGGACTTTGTGTAATATCTTGGCCAAAGTTTCTAATGTATATACTGATGATTGGAATATACATGTACTTTTGCATATAGAATTATGCGGCAAAATACTATTAAGTATGAACTGTTTTTCCTTATATATGAACGGGATGTCATTTTACCCATTGAATTTAGTGTTCCTGTTTTACCATCATCTGATATTTTGGTAGATCCTGAAAGAATGTATCAAATCAGGATTGGTCAATTACAAGAGTCCCTTACTGATTCCTAAACTAATGCCTAACAAAATATACAAGCTGTCTAAGAAAAACAACAGAAATAATATGATAAGAAAGTTAAGCCACATACTTATTCTATTGGAAATTTGGTGCTTTACAAGAATTTTCAGACTCGTTAGTTAAATGATAAGTGGCTTGGTCCATATTATGTACATGACATCTGAGCCAATGTGACAATTAATCTTAGAACTACGACAGGCGAAATCCAGAAAAACTGGGTCAATGCTAATTAAATCCTACCATATAACAGTGACTAATTGCATTATCGCTTATATATAAAATTATATTTTTATATATAATGAATGGAAGAGGAATTCCTTTCAGTCAATAACAAAATGAATTACCTTCAAAAATTACAATTGGATTTAACTCGAACGCCGACAAATGATCATGTCGAAATTCCTCGAATTCCTTTTAAAGAATTTTATGAAGATGATCTTAGAGGACTAGTCAAAGTGTTCTACTCTTCCCTCAGGAAAAATTTAAGGATTCTTGTGTGGATGTATTCTTATTATTTGGGAAAAGGCTTCTAACTCGTATTAAGCTTGGAATTATCTATGAGGACTGATAATGTGGTATATTACTTTCGAGGAATCTGCAGATTATACAACTTTTTGGAAGTAGTTGGGCCAACACCCATATACTTCTCTCAGATTTGTACATTAAGCATGATCTCTAGGCTGAAACATAAAGAACTTCAACAATTAGCAATGGACACCTCGATATG